TGTTCTCTTGGCACTAGCCCCCATGATGTGAGGAAGACCAAGGAGCCACACAAGTGAGGCTTGTTGATTGCACCATCCACGTCTTAGTTGATGGTCATTACCAATCACCGCACACATTGGTGAATAAGGCTTTGGATAAGTTGAAACCGCCCCCACCCCCCCGCCTTTGAGTCTTCCCAGCTAAGGTCCTGACATTGTGGAACAGAGAGGAGGTGTCACTGATATATCCTTCCTGAATTCCTGACCCACGAAATATCTGAACACAGTAAAACGATTATTCTTGTTGGTTTTGTTTTTTATTATAATTAGTCTTTTTCCTGGTCCCTTATTTAGGTTTTCTAAATTCCTGCTATGAGTGAGACCATCCGGTATTTTTCTTTTTTTTTCTGGCTTATTTTGCTGAGCATGATGCCTTCCAGCTCCAACCATGTTGCTGTGAATTGCGTGGGTTTATCTTTTTTGATTGCTGAGTAATATTCCATTGTGTATATGTACCACATCTTCTTGATCCAGTCATCTATTTTTGGGCATTTGGGTTGTTTCCATAGCTTTGCTCTTGTAAGTTGTGCTGCTTTAAACATAGGGGTGCAGGTGCCCTTTTGAATTAATGTTACCTTTGGGTAAATACCTAGGAGTGGAATTGCTATAAACCAGAGACACACTATGGGGGGGCAGGGAGGAGGGATTAGGGTCAAAATGAGGGGGGTGGGAATTGTATGGGGACTATAACCAAGATGAAAATGCAAACATTGTGCAAAAATGAAAAATCATGTAAAAATATATAAAATAAAATAAATGATTATCCTTTTGCACTGCTACATTTGATGTATCTTTTTATGCAACAAGTGAAATGCATGATAGGGAAGAAGGAAGAAATAGAAATGATAAAAGCTAGGCTGCAGGCTTCCTGAACAATAAGAAAAGATCCATATTCAGTTTTACTGTTTATTGGGAGTGGTTACTCTCAGAGAAGTGGTTAAATGCTTTCTGAGATAGGAAGTAGCCCTTGTCATCAAGGGTACTAGGAAAGTGACCCTCAAGGCTAGGGCATTGGAGTGGTAGAAACTCCCTCGTCATCATTGTCGGACAATGCTTACAAATCTAATAGTGTAGCAAAACAAATGAGGCTGAATTTGCTAGCTTCCTGTCTCAAGAAGAATGAATTAAGAAAAATTGTATGTGGGGTGGATATTGTAGTTTGTTGTGTCGGGCAACACCACACTGACAAAGAAACTGGAGTCGTGGAGCAGGCTACATAATGCAGGATGCTACTGAAGGGCAAGATCCTGGCCCTTTTATTGACACATGATATTGGTTGTAAGGAGGGGAAGCAAAAGGAGATTATAGAAAGGGGAAGGGTGTAGAAGATTAGGGATTGTGAGTCTGCCCTCCAGACACTTCTTACCTACTTGAGGACACACTCTAATCCCCAGCCATGGTTTTAATCTTATCAACAAGGTGTTCCACTGATCAGCTTCTGGGGTCCCTTGCCATACAATGGTCCTCGGCCCCCTGCGCATTCCCGGTCATACCTCGTGATGTATAAGGGTCCTCAGCGGCACCCCTCCACCCCCCGCGCTCAGGACATACCTCGTAATGCATAACTTCCCAGCATGATCCATAACTTCCCAGCATGATCCAGCTTGGTGCTCTTGTTTGATTTGAAGGGCTGAAGGTTTGGGCTCCTGTACCCAACTGGCTGGGCCATTTTGACCTTGTTTAGGTGCCAAAATGGCGGCCGAATAGGCTGCCTAGGAGTAGCAGACCCACAGTAGTTAATTACACATACTATAAATTAGCACTTACATTTTTTGCACAAAATGAATCACAGGAGAGCTATGTCTTATTAGATCATTTGAAGAAAGGGAATTCCTTGATCGAATTTTGTCTTCTACTTCTATCAGCGCTTCAGCCTTAGAACCAAACAGAAGTATTCCAAATCCAGATATTTATAGAAAAAATGATCTTGAAAGTTCTTAAACTTTATTATGAAGTTGACAAATGGATTTGAGGATGAGTTCATCTGCAGTAAGAACTACTTATAAAGTGTATCCTATTGTTCATGTAGTCCTGACATGGAGGTCAAGTTCTGCATCACTGGTGTAACAGTAACAGCCCTTAGTTAATATGCCTGCACTGATTTTGACTCATGTGAACTTTGTTTTCAGGACATGTAAATTCTTTCTTGGTGAGCCACTTTGTCTTTGCTATATGCCATGTTGGGATAGTATACTTATTTGATTCCGAAGATTCATTGCTAATCTTTGCTTATGTTCTCATTCAGAATACAGTTTCAGAAAGTCTTATCAATTGGTTTCTACAGAGGACCTATTTCTCTCCAACATGTAAGGGGCTACTTGCTTTGCCCTTTACAAAAGAAATGGCTGAATAGTTTTAAAGCCTTCTCGTCTAACATGGCTAAACACTGCATTCATTTTGGAGGTGATGAGGTGTTCTTTCCAGAGGCACCTGCATTTGTGGTAAACTGTGGCAGTGGAAAGGGAATTTTCAAACTCATTTGGAGGGAAGAGTTTGCTTTATCTTAGAGTGTGAGCTGAAATGGATCTCCTGTTCTGTGTTTCTCTCATACTTCCTGTATCACACCATTAAACACCCTCCCAGGGACCACGAGCTCCAGGAGATGGTTTGATCGCTTCATGCCCAGTATCCTGGGGACCACATTTGCAGCATGTGGGGCATGATAACCTCCTAGGGTTAGGATAACAGCTGTTCCCAGTTTTAACACACAATATAAAGTGAAATAGCCACTAATTATCCTCAGGGCTAGTGATGGAAAGGAATAACGATGTAAGGGTTGGTTTGTCCACATTCACATAACCGGTATGTGGGGGAGCCTTGTTTGGACTCAAGTAAATGAGTTGTTTCTGTTGTTAGGTTTATTTACCTTCACATATCACATTCTACTCTTAAAGAGGGTGTGTGAGGCTGCCTTTCATGGGAGGTAAGAGTTTGCTGAAGGTTGAAGATGAGACTAGCCTGGTGATTAGTATATCACATAATAAATTACCGAGTATGTTCTTCTGGCTCCCAGATTGTGATCAGCCTTTTCACACATTTCCACCAAAGTGCCCTTGGCATAGGGAAAGAGTCACAGGACTGCTCTACCGAGAGAGCAACGCCAGCCTGAGTAGGCTGGTAGTCTAATCTTCCTATGTTTGAGAGAGAGAGAAAGAGGGAGAGAGAGATATATAGAGAGAGGTTCTCAGTGTGGTCCTGGGGCCAGCAGTATACTCAGCAAACTATCTTGTTCATATTTTTTTTTCTCCATTGCCAAGTTTTACAAGATAAAGTATCCTGTTGTAACAGGAGTTCAAAGAAAGTGGTCCCTTCCATATGCACCCACTGAGCACTTATTAAGCCATGCGCAAAGGACTATGTTAGTTACCATGGGAGAGGAATGATGAGGAAACTATGGTCCCAGCCTTCTGTGTGCTCATCCAGTATTGCGCTATGCACACTGGGGTGTGTGTGTGTGTGTGTGTGTGTCCATATTTCTATGTGCATATTTCTTTTGCCAGTAGGAAGAGATGAAAGAACAGTGGCTTACCTCCTTGGTGGTTCTGTGCAATAATTTTTCACAAAGTGGAAAACGGGTGAAATCCACCGGTGTATCATTGATGTTACCAAACAATCCTTTGTTCATTTCAAAATGGGGCAATGAAGAGTTTTCCTAAAAAGCTTACGTTTCAACCATTTGGATCTTGGGGACAGTAGATGAAACAGAATGCACAGCCTCACACCTAACTTATTGTTTTTGCTTTAAGCATCAGCCCCAGCCCCAAGAACCTAAGGGTAAATCAAGTCACAAAGCTACCTCAGACCTGCCCACCAATTATAAAAATATGCAATAGCCTTTCCCTTCTATTTAACTTTTATTAAAAGAAGTGCTAAGGTACTGAGATGCAGTACATCATATTTATTACCAAAATTATTAACAAATATACAAAACTTATACATGTAATTTTCTTACATCCATTTATTCTCTATAATACTGATTTTTGTTCAAGTAGATTATCTACAGTATGTAAACATCCCTTGGATTGACCTCACACAGATTAGGAAAGCCTCTAACCCATGCTTTTATCAGATACTTTTTTTTTTTTTTTTTTGGCTTTCATTTGTAGCATCTAATCTTCACATTTGGCACATGGAAGAGACACCTACAGTGCAAAAGAGGCAGATTTTCTAGTTTCCTTCGGTTATTTTGCAGGGGCACAGTTAAAGAGCTGAGAGAACAAGAGCACTCCAATGTGAGAGCACTGGATTCACTGCAATGCCAAGAACTCTTGGTTCAGCCATTAAACTTGACCGAAAAGTCAATGCCTCTTCCTTCTCCCACCCCCCACCCTCCCTCATGCAAGGTCGGTTCAGCCTTAACCTTGTCTCAAAAAGGTTAAACGAAATTCCATCCACCCCAGGACCAGCAGGTTAATTTCATGGAGGAAGAATGTTGCAGAGTCCTTTGTGCGGTTGACGAGCCAGCAAGACTTTGCAATGGAGATGAAAATAAGATGGAAAAGAAAAAACGGCTATGAGAGTAGAGCTTTCTATCCACTTTGAAGGACCCCAAGGTTGGCCTCTTGGGGTGCAACAGGACCAGGGCCTGGGCGATGGACGCCACAGCCAGGCCGGCTGCTCCACCTCGGCCTCCAAGCCTTCGACTAGATCCCCACGTTCAAAAGACAAAAAGGTATTTGGAGATTCTGCCCCCCTCTTCCTGTGTTTCCTTTCGCTCATTTAACTTAATCTACCCAAGTAAAGCTGATCCAGAGAGAGCTCTGTCCGCCCGCTAGCCCCACCCCCACTCTCCAGCGCGGTATTGCTCACGTGGTGGGCTGCGCCTCTTCCGCGAAGCCGCCGCCGCGCAGAACGGCGGCTTTTTGGCCGCGCAGCTGCCTCCCGGCCTCCGTCACCACAGGGGTGCCGGCCCCTCCGAGCCCCCGTAGAGCTCGGCCAGCTTCCGGAAGCGGGGCCCCCAGTCCGTGAGGAAGTCGAAGCTCTGCTCCGAGTCCGACGTGGCCGACTGCAGGGAGCTCAGCGAGCCCGCCACGGAGCCGTCCCCCTCGAACATGTAGGTCTGCAGGGAGTCGAAGGGGGGGGCCCACAGGTCCATGTCGGCCTCGTAGAGCTTGGCCAGCACGTAGCTGTGGACCGTGCTGCTGACGGCGCACGCCTGAGGCACGTAGCGGGAGAGGCTCTCGATCTCGGGCAGCATGTCCTGCCGCGTCTTGGGGGCGCCCCCCGCCTGCGCCTCCCGGGGGTTCCACATGGCCGCGATGTCGAAGGCCTCCGTGTCCTCCTCGCCGCCGCCCTCGTCGTCGTAGCGCACGATGTTCTCGTGGATGTTCTCCTCGTCGTCGATGATGTAGGGCTGCTTGCGGTGCCGCCGCATGGACAGGATGAGCAGCACCAGCACTGCGGGCACAGAGGGCAGGGGTTACCCGGGCGGCCGGCCCCGCACCCCCCGCTGGAGGTGTTCCTGGGGGCCCCGAGGGGGGAGAGTTTGCGGAATGGGGAGCTCAGAGACAGCGCTTGGCTATTGTTGCAAACCGCCAAGTCGCCCTCGTGGTCGCCTGAGCTGCCCTGTCGAATCTATGCAGAAGGAGCACTGTGTTTTCTTTTTCAGATGGTCCTTTTGGAAGTTGCATGTAAAATCCAGTTGCAGGGCCTCCCCGGGGGCGCAGCGGTTGAGCGCTGGGTTGCGAAGCTGCCTGCAGCCTCTGCAGCACCAGTTCGATCCCTGGCCGCTAGGGAGAGTCCCACGTGGCGCGCAGACCTCTCCTGCTGCGCCCGCTGCTCCCCTCAGCAGTGTACTTCGTCAGTCTGCCTGTTGTGCTCCCTGCTCTGGCTCTGGTGAATTCTCTCACCCTCCCGTGCTTTTGACTGTACCCAGTGCTTGTATAAATAAAGAAATAAATCTTAAAAAAAAAAATCCAGTTGCATTTTTGAAATTGTGCACACACACCCAACCACCCGATATGTATCCTGTTGACAAAATGCTCAGCACTATGGCCATGAAGCCAGTCGTGACCTCGGACTTTATAAAGACTTTATCAGACTGTATAAAGACTCTTAAAGATTTTTATCATGTCAAAATCATCTTTTTTAAAAGATTTATTTATATATACAAGAGTTGGTATACAGGGCAGAGGTGGGGTGGTGGTGAGAGGATTCATCAGAGACAGAGTGGGGAACAGAACAGGCAGACTGACTGAAATACACAGCTGAGGGGAGCAGCGGGTGAGGCAGGAGAGGTCTGCTGCGTCATATGGGTAGCTCCCTGGTCAGCTGGGGATCGAACTTGTGCTGCAGAGGCTGTGGATTGCTTCATAGTGCTGTGCTTAATCCTTTGCCCCACCTTGGAGGCCCATCATGTGGAAATCTTACCATGCAGGTGGAATCCTGCTTTCTTATGTTAGCATCTTAATAGGATTCTATTTTGTAAATATAATCATCCGCATGTGCAAATGCATGCAGACATGTATACTAAATATGAGCCAAAGTAAATAAGAGCACAAATGATCACTGTTGTCCAGTAAAGTCAGTCTTCAATTATGACTTTTTGGATTCATTACTGTTCATGGAAGAGAGGGAATGAGCAGTGACATTTCACATAGTTCATCATGTTATCAAAGAAGCACCATACTGTTAGATGTGCCCTTGCAGGTTTGGATAAAATTTTATCCCAACAAATGCATTTTTCCCCCAGGATGTGTTCACTGGGGTTTAAAGGAGTGATAGAGATAATCCCATTGAACTATTTATCTCAGTGACTGAAAACATTTTCTAGGAAGTGTGTTGAGGTTTCAGCTGTAGAACTGCTATTGATTTTTTTTTTTTCTGGTGTTCTTTGTTACAGTTGGTGAACAGTGACAGCTTGACAGCAGGGCAAAATAGAATCCCAGTTTATCCAAGGAGAAAAAAAATGGAATACAGCTGTATACCCAGTAAGATTATAGGCTGCAAAAACTCATAATACTAATTAAAAAAAATTGAATATAGAATGTACTTTTTTTGTAAATTGCAATTAGTGATGTTAACATCTAGTATTTTCCCTAATAGCTTGAGTAACCAAAAGCACACACAGGGAACAATTATATATTTTTCTCTGTTTTCTCCATGTACGAAAATTTGACTTAAGGACCAGAGGATTGTGAGATTTTCGAGAAATGAAGTAATAGGGCTCTAAGGAAGAGGGTGGTTGAACCGGACATTAGAGTTGGGGTATGATTTGGCTGGAAGCAGGTTAGAGAAATGGAATTCTAGGTGAACGTGCTCTGTTTGTGGGATTCAGTAGACAGTTACTAACCTCATCTGTTTTTTAGACATTTTGCTATGTGATGGAGAAACAGTTTTGCAGTGATGTGATTTTTTTTACATCTAAAGAGATTATAGATACTTGTGATTAATGCAAGTCAGGCAGTGATATGGGCTATCATAGAGTTACAAGTGTTGAGTAGAGGACCTGTTCATCCTTCCTTGGGAACTGGGCAGGCGTGGTGTTTTAGAAAATGCTAGGAGGTAAGATTAGAAAAGTTTTCCAGTATCTGCTGGAAAGAATTCTGATGGTGATGGAGAACTGGGTAGTTTGTACAACCGGTCCATCTCTTGAAAAATAAAGGTTACCACACGTCTTAAAAACAAGTATTATATGGTGCCCCGAAAATCAGATTTTGGGAATAATGGTCCTGTTTAGCTGGAAGACTTCCCTGACAGAAGGGATCAGGATGATTATTCTTCAGCTACTGTAGACACTGTGCATGGGGCCTAGAAAATTTTCTAGGAACTTGAAAATCACTTGATGTCAAAATATACTGTGAAATCAAAATTGGTATGTTTAGTTAATTGTCCCCAAACTTGATAAATCAACTGCAATTCGTATCACAGAGATTCATGAATTATATTTAATGTGAGTTGTGTGCTCTTAGAAATAAGAGTGCCTAAAAATGTGAGGTTTTTATGATAGCTCTGCTCAATTTAGTTCCTGAAAACTGTTCTATACAATTCAAAATATAAAACATAGGGGTTTTGGAGGCACAAAATAAATTGTGCTTTGCACACCTCTTCTAACTTGAGATTCTTGTTGTGCAGTCTTAATATCAGTCTTTCTGAAATGACGACTCCTACTTCTCTGTGGGCCAGGGTGATCTTACAGTCATTTTGCCAGTATGGAATTTTTCCTAGCAGCATTTCTTCAGAGGCCTGTTACAGGTTATCCGGATGTGTACTCAAGGATTCCCATTGCCACCTTATGGACACTCAGGGAATTGCAGGAAGGTTTTACCTTTTTTTTTTTTTTTTCCCTTCAGTGACCAGAAACCTTAACTCTTTTTGATCCAGGAATCCTAGGACTTAGAGAGTTTACTTATTTCTACTGCTTTTCTCTTCATGTAGCACTGAACTAAAACAAAAATAAGCCACATGTTGTTTAAATGCTTTTTGGAAAGCACATTCCATGGACTTAGAAATTCAAATCAAGTGCTGACATTTTGTTAGTAAGTTAGGATCTTTCTTTGGTCGGCCTCAGGCTCATCGTGTAGAACCTGGTATCAGGCGGGTATGTGGTAATCTGCGCATCTGTCTCCTGTAAATCTCTAGTGCTGTGCTTTTTTTCCTTCATAGAATGTTGGGATTTCTTTTGTATTGAATAACATTGCTGTCTACGAAGTCTGTTTTTCTTTACATCTATCTGTCTGTCTGTCTGTCTGTCTATCGATCTATCTTTACCGTAGAATCATCAGCAGAGTTGGATTGTATATACAGATACTCTTAGTTTTAGGTGTTAAAGTCTTGAGTGTGGAGTTTGCAAACAATTGCATAAGTAGTCTTAAATACAAGGGGGCAGGGTGGCTGCCTTGCAGTAGGACTTGAGAGGAGGCAGTGAGGGCCCCTACCCTCACAGCGCTTTCTCGCTAGCTTGTCATCACATCTTTTTTTATTTCACCAGCCATTGCTCCTTGTTAGATGACCACAGTGCCTGGGTGGGTGCTCGTGCCCAATATAGCTTCTCTCTGATATCTAATGATTCACTCCCTCCCTTCTTGCAGAAACGTGTTCACAGGTCTCCTTATCACTGAGACATCCCTGATCACCCTATTAAAATGGCACCTACTCTTCAAGGTGGGGTCTGCCTCTGAGGTTTGACTGTGGGCCCGTCACTACCTCTATGTGATTTAACTACTACTTATCCGAAATGGGGGGTTATAAGCAGTAATCATATCTTGTCCAAAATTGCCATTCTGGTTCTAGGATGTGAAAAGGCACTTGCTTTGCTGTGACTGAGCTCTGTGAAGGCCGGGACAAGACTGCCCTATCAATCCCAACACCACCAGTGGTGTTCAAGCCCACAGTAGCTGCTTGAAAGATGTCTGTGCTCTGACCTGACCTGAAGGAACTGTCTTGTTTCTTCATTTTTTCACAGCTTTACTCTCCTGGTTTTTTAATAAGCACAGTGTAGAAACCATGATGGCCAAGTGCTGAATAAGCTCTTGCAGGGCCCCGCGGAACGGAAAGGCACCACTTACCTAAGAGGACAAAGATGCAGGCCAGGATGGCGATGAGGGCGCCCCGGCTCAGGCTGACTGGGAGCATGTAGGCCTCGGGGCTGCAGGACAGGACATGACCGTCGTCGTCACAGCTGCACACCTGGATGGTCAGTGTGCCCGTGCTGCTCAGCACTGGCTGCCCGTTGTCAGAGATTAGGATAGGCAGGTAAAAGACATTCTGCTCCTGCTGCCGGAAGCCAGACCTCCTGGTTAGAACCCGGGCAGTGTTATCTGGAGAAGAGAGGGGTTCCACTATTGAAAAGGGAAGAGGAAAAATGAGCGGGAAGAAGAAAGTGCAAGAACCAACAAGTGAATTATTTTCTTGGGTTGAGGTAAGCCATGGGGCCCAAACAGTTTGTGTGAAGGAGCGAGAAGCAGAATACAACATTGCCCGGGGGCCTTCAGCCACAGCCACAGCCACAGCGGGTTTGTCTGGATCAGCATTTGGATTCGAGAGCAAGATTTTTCCTTGCTTCTAGGCAATACTGGGAGGCCTCGGAGAGAAAGCCTTTTTGAGAGTCTCTCTTACCCTTTGTGACATAAAGTGCCCAGGGCGAACTGTCAGACTTCAGATCTAACTGAAATGTCCCTGGGAAAGCCTGACAGAAATGAACAATCACTGGCGACTTGTGGTCCCTGTTTGATCCTGCTCAGCAGCTTTCCAAGGCCCCACACTACTTTGTGCCTCCAGGAAAAGAACAGTGACGAGCCCACGTGGCCGTGGCAGATTGCTTATTTTTGCCACTTTGGCTGGAATTCACATCTTTTTCTGTTTTCTTTTATGCCTGCGAGATACACCACCGACTCCTCCAGTGCTTTCTCAACAACCTGCGCAGCTAGCAGAAGCTTACTGGAAATCTCCTCATAGGACACCTGTATGTGTGGTCTAAGTTTATCCAGTTAATATGAACTTGATGAAAACTCATTTCTGATCTGCAAATGACTTTTTCTCTAATTTTAAAGGGGCTGAGCAAAATTCTTAGATGTGTTTCTACAAAGCTGGCGTTTGTGTTTATGTTCATATTTGCCTAAGGTCATGTTTTGGAGCTTCGTTTTCTCAAGGGGATTTGAGTTATAATCGCATCTATTTTTTGCAAAGCTTAGATCATTTTCCTCAGGAAAAGTTTGAGAGATGTTTGGATATACAACCACGGACTGTTCTCCACATGTGTGTCATTTCACAGGAAAGGGTCTAGAAAGTCACAAAAATATTCTGAGAGCCCAATCATAGTAAACATTATTAATCCCCATAACAATACTTCTGGCTCTCCTTCCCTTTATACTCATAATAAAGGAATATACTTTTCTACCTTCTTGAGTTTGGGCCTGTTTGTTTTTTGATGATGCAAAATGAGCAGAAGTGATTTGCGTCACTTCCAGATAGGTGTATGAAAGAGCAGGTGTGTGGCTCTCCCAGCTCTGTTGCCGTATGTAGCACTAGTAATGGTGACCCAAGCTGCCTTGGACAGGTGGATAACTGTCCTCAGTCACTCAGGCCATAGTCGGCTTTGTGTCAACAAGAAATTGACTTTACACTGTTTAACCACTGAGATTTTGGTGGTGGTTTCTGTAGCATAACCTAGCCTAATCTGGCGACATTATCATTAATTTTCAGATCCTTCTTCCCCTGCTTTTGCTTATTGAGCGCTTAGTATACGCAACATATTTAATCTTCAAGGTAACTTGATGAGATAGTGGAAATTTCACCCTTTCATAGCGAGCGAGTTAAGGCCTGAAGAGTTTATATAATTTGTTCAAAGTCACTAGTTTAATTAGTAGCAGAGCAGTGATTTGAACTCTGGCCTCTCTGACTTCAGACATGTACCCTTCCGTTGTGTCATGTAACCACTTATTAGCTTAGTGCCAGTGACTGTCCAGCTAATTAGAATCGTTTTGTTTCAGGCTTCTGTCCTTTTTTCCTTTTTCAGTGGAGAAAGCCAAGCTGAAGATTATATTCCTATTTCTACTTCCCACATAACCCACCTGCTTTTTAGTTTTCTAGACTTACAGCTAAGTACTGTTAATTCTGTCATAGCTTTTTTTCAGAAACTTTTTCCTTTGGTTTTTAAATTTTTAAAAATTTTTCAGTTTAATCAGACCAGTCTAACCAGAGCTGAATTTAAAAGAAAAAAATTCTTCTTGCCCACGACATAGTCTATGCTTCTGGATCTCATAATTATTTAGGATTAATCAGAGTATATAATTATTGAATCTAGGCCTAGAAGGGGCCTGCCATATCGTCGTCACTTGGGCAATTTTTGTTGCATATGATGGCTCAGGCTCGAGGAGCCCATTTGAAAGTAGAATTTGTTTCCAAGGTGACACAAAATTTTTTTTCTCTGTGTGTGGCTAAAACAGGCCCTGGTTCCAGTCCCAGGCTTCATGCTTACTCATTGAGCTTG